TTCCTACAACTACTCACAATCTGTCTCAAATATACTGTCGGCATTTATTATTTCTCCAAACGAAAATCACTAAGAAAAGCTGGTGAATGGGCAATCGTGACTGGTGCATCAGCAGGAATTGGTGAGGCGTATGCAGAAGAACTGGCTAGTGAGGGTCTCAATCTCATGCTGATCAGTAATGATGAACAACAATTGCAGTCGGTTGCTAATCGAATATCTCACGAGTACAATGTGAAAACACGAATTGTGATAGCGGATTTCACAAAAGTAAGATGCATGCATTTCCGATTGATTTTTTGATGAGATTATTTTGGAATACATTTGAAATCATCAATCAATCATTGATAGATGATCATTAGAAACCTGGAAGCACTGAAACACTGCCGTCTTGTCCTGGTATGGGACTCATCAGTGGCAGTGCGCAACCACGACTACTGCACCTCGCAGGAATCAAACCCGTGATCTTCGGTATTGTGCGCGAACGACTAACCATTGGATGACTGAGCCGACATCCAACGGTGTTAATGTGTAACTCTGATTGATCTAGGGATTTTGCGCAACTTCACGCATTTGTCTTTTGTAGTTACTGCCTACACCCGACAGGGTTGAACTCCATCGGTCACGTCTCCTCACTGGAGGAGTGCTATAAAGAAACTGAAAACAGAATTCTCTCTTTATCTCAAATGGGTATGGACAGTATTCAGTTCACAATTAAAACAACCCCTTTCATAATGATGAACTTTCATTCGAGTTAAGCGTGCAATTGTCATTTGATTTAATTTGTTGATGTACAGTAGTTGATTAGCAGTAAAAAAGTAATCAGTTTAGAATAATTTGATAAGAAGATTATTTAATTGTATGCGAGTGAAATATGAATATGATTCGGTTGAAAATATAAGCGAATTTAGGAAAATTCACATTTCATGCCATGCAATGCTCGGACTCTGTTAGGATATTTACCAAATTACCTAAGAGGATTATTATTGAAAGTCTAATTCTATTGGTCAATTCCTATCGGTTGTCCTAACTATCGATGTAACATACTTCAAATGCTGTTTCCTATTAAACCTAAATGTATAAATATGCATTATCTGTAGCGTTTTGGGAGCCGGACTCGGATCCCTATTCTGGGATCCAGATTCTATTCTGGACTCGGACCTCGTACTTTCTGGATATTTGTAGAATACCCGTTCTACTTCATATCAAGTCTTCTGGTTTTACTCAATGGGGGTTTGGGACGCTCGGATTAGAGTTACCTGTTGTGTCACTAGATCATCGATCCTCGCTCTCGTTCACTGACTAAGGTGAACTCGTATTAGTTCAAGCACATCAAATAACATGTTGACGTGCATGAGTACCAAATACAAGTAGTTATGGTCATGTTGAAGCTTTAAGTGGATACATGTGAATTAAAACGATAAGTTGTCGTTTTACAAAAAATCACCGTGAAAAAGATTTAGGCATTCAAATTACTTTCGAATAATCCACTGTGATCAAACTCATTCTCTCTCCCTGTCTCTGCTTCAGGATAATTTTTATGAAATAATCAAACTTGAAGTTGAACAACTATCCACCATTGCTTGTCTTGTTAATAATGTTGGTATCATTATACCATTCGGTTTATTCGCTGGAGAAATCGAGTCCCCCGATGAACAATCCATTAGAAATGTCATTCATTGTAACACACTGTCAACAGCATTAATGACAAGTATCGTTTTACCGAAAATGTTAACACAGAATGGATCAAATCCTGGCATCATCAATATTGCATCCTTCTGTGGTTTGAAAGTATTTCCTTATGCTACAATATATGCCGCCACAAAAGCATTCATTATTCAATTTGCCAAATGTCTTGCTGCAGAAAATTATTCGAAAAAGAATATTATCATACAAACTGTTTGTCCAATATTTGTATCGACCCAAATGAATAATTTTAGGAAAATATCATATTTCACACCGACACCACAAGTGTTTGCTAAAAGTGCTTTGGATATGTTTGGTGTAGACCAATTAACCACTGGTTATTTTCCACATGAATTGAAAGCATTTGTCTATAATGTATTGCCTACATCATTGTGGATCAAATTGATCGAAGGTATATTCGATCCGAGGAGAAAACGACGCAGAAAAGTTGAATAACATGAACGGTGATTGTTCAAATTTCGTCAAATTGTTAATTTTATCAATTAAAACATGTCTTCTTATACGATTTTCAATTATAAATAAAAATAATAATGATCTCATTGTATTCATGGATTTCGTTCGAAATAACTTATCCGTTGATGAAACAAAGAAATTAGTTTTCGAATACAGAAAATTGTTAGCATTGTAAATGAGTACTTCTCCGATTAGCAATAAACTCCCATTCACCTCACTTCTATCCGTAGAACTATTCACTATAGAGATTTCTAACGGAATCATCTATGAAACGGAGGTTGCGATAACTGTTATCCTAAATCCTTAAATCAGGCTCTTGTGCGTTTACTTAAGGTATTAACAACTTACTTCCAACTCAATAAGCAGCACGCAAAGATACCGTCACGTAGGATAAAAAACACCAGAATGTCTTGTTTTCCAGATATCATTGTTCGTTGGACTGTCGTCTTCTCAATAAGCTTCAGTTCGATTAAAATATTTATTGTCAATAGGGTTAGGACATTTTCCTAAAGACAAGTTATTTCATGGCGTTTAAGTTACTACTACAATCTATTGATTTGACACTTCGATTTGTGTAGCTACAATGGAGTCCTAATTGTGGCGTCAATTAGATTAGATACATTGAAAACTGATCGTCAGGAAATAAAAATTGTTATCTCGAGGTTAAATTAAGCTGACGGCAACAGTTATTTACAACTGTATAGTTAATTAGTCAACTACGACCTACCTTGCACAAAGAACAGTGTAAATTGGCTCATAAGATAATGGAGTCTCACATCAACCTTATATCTAACACGACATTTTATTCTCGCCTCAAACGTTACAAACAATTGATGTATGTTTAAATTCGGTATTCAACAAGATGAACAGAAGGTCAGATAATCTTTACACAAATAAGATACTCGTGAATATGTAAAAACACTCACATTTTCACCATGATTGTTGTACCAATAATCTAATCTAATTTTTGAAACCACAATGAAGAAATTTCAATCAGTTATACTGTTCGTCAGTTAGATTAAAATATTATTCACACTCTAACAGCATTGCCCCGAATTCTCAGAAATCAGTTCCATCCGCTTTCTTTCTCAAAATACAGTTTCTATGCATTTAGCTGACAGAACATGAAACTAATAATCGGATCTTCCTCAAATGGACAGTTAGTTCACAATGTCACTGCTGAAAAAGAACAGTTCCAGTAAGTCAGTTCTTGTTTGTAGATTGTAATCGTGAAATGAACCACCGCTCTGCATCTAGTAGTTGAATGCGACCGACAAGCATCCACTTACATTCACACAACAGATACTCAACCCCACTTCAGTTATCACATTGCTGATACACCTAATTGATGAACATTTGAAAATTGTATTCTACTTCAACTAACTTCATATATCGGTGTGAGCTGAAGCCTAGAATCATGTCTACTTCTAACAAGTTACATAATCTCGAATCCAAACTCAAAATTTATTCACTGATAACAAGTCATTGGTCACTTATGTAGTTCGTAGTTCGATCACTTATGTAGTTCCAAGAGAATCCAAATGTGATTGAAAATTAAAACCCCTGATCATTCAGTCAATGTTCAGGGAAACTATCAACAAAGAAAAGGAAATGTCAATCACTGCTATGTGCTCTAACGATGATCGGCCATTTTGTGGACAGGACAGATCCTGCACACCAGTAATTGTGTCGTACATACTTATTTGAATCTTCTGTTCTCTCATTACACAACGTCAGATTGACTTGATCCACCCTACTGGTGTCACGATACAGCTTGATATCCATCAACATCTTCATTAGTTCAGCTGCTTCCGTAGCCTAATGTTGATGCGTTTCTAGGATCACTGTCGACGACGTCCAACACAGAAAGGAATGGTCAAGCACAGCTATGTGGTACAACGATGATCAGCCGTCAGTGTACAGGACAAATCCTGCGCAGCATTAATTGTGTTATGTTTTCGTGTATAACTCTTCTCCTTAAGAGCCTTTCATCTCCAATAACTTTGTTTCACTGAACAAAAGCAATGTACACACTTCAGATAAACTTGTAAGCATTCGTTTACAATTTATTGACAACATCAATGTGGCTAAAACTGATCGAACACGTGTTCAATCCAAAGAGCGAATCAAAGCAGTAAAGTTGTATAACCTGAATTTGGGTTGAACAGAAGATCGTCAATTTTGTAAATAAGTACTTTTGTGTTTAGCCGACGTCAATTTCTTGTCAGTTCACAATATTCTATGACAGCACAATCTCAATGGACGTTTAATTTTCAAAGAATATTTTTGACTACTTAATATTTGAACAGTAATCATTATATTCACAATCAATCAAAATTGTTTGTTCCAATTATCTTATTTCAGTGTGTACATTTTTAATTTGAGCGCGAAAACAATTGGGTCGTTTGACAAACATATGCGTAGAAAGACATTTTTTATTGTTTAACTAAATTACATGATTAACAGAAATTTGTTGCGATTGAACACGTGATTTGAAGCATGTCATCTCAATCAATCACTCAATCTCTCACACAAACACAACTCAACTCTCAAATCAATTTTTGTCAATTCATTCACAGACAACGTGATTAACAAAATAGAAAATAGTGTTCAAGAGTGAAGAGTGAAGAGTAAGTTGTAATCTCATTTTCATTTCATTGATCAATTATTATTTCTGATGATAAGTAGTTGAACAGGATTCAACATTATCTGGTAGACGAAGTGTTCCTGTAATGTGACCTAATTGTTAGTGCGTTTGGCTATCTGTGATGGAGGCAAGTGCAAACTATATTCAGACAGTGTCAAGTTAACGTCAGTCAATAACCTCCTAAGATGAGGTCAACAGAACAAGTTGCAAGTCATTTGTAGAGAAATGTGTGTGACTCACTTCTATCTAGAGTTTGTGATGCAGGCACGATTTAGAAGAATGTTAACCTCATGATCATTTTGTTGAAATCTAGGGAGAAATTCATCACAGCTAACGAGTGTACTGACATTACACTTTCATTGTTTTCATCGTCAGTTAATATCCAGTTTATCGATGGTGTCAGGTTTATTTAAAACATTTCACTTCCTGTCCCACTTCCCACTTCACCATCTAGATTATGACAGCTAGTGTAAACTGCATCACAGACAGTTGGTGGTCACTGTTCCGATTACTGATCGTCAGTTGGATAACATTCAAACTCATACAACTACTCACAATCTACTTAAAATACACTGTTGGCATTTACTGCTTCTCCAAACGAAAATCACTACGAAAAGCTGGTGAATGGGCAATCGTGACTGGTGCATCAGCAGGAATTGGTGAGGCGTATTCAGAAGAACTAGCTAAAGAGGGTCTCAATCTCATATTGATCAGTAATGATGAAGAACAACTACAGTCGGTTGCTGATCGAATATCTCATGAGTACAATGTGAAAACACGAATTGTTGTAGCAGATTTCACAAAAGTAAGATGCATGCATTTCCGATTGATTTGTTGATCAGATTATTTCGAAATTGTTATGATTGAGTAGTGAGTAGTGAGATTGTTTTAGCTAGCACACACGATAGTAGTTTTCATATAGATTTAGAGAAATTATGCTTTACTCAGTACGCTTAGAAACTGTTCGCAGCATAATATATTTTCTAAATAACGTATTGCTTAGTTCTATACTTCTGTTTGCATGCATGAATCCGAAGGTATCTGTGTCAAGTTGTACTAGCAAAAATATACAAGCAGAAATTTGTGAATGAAGTGAATGTTTAGTGTCAGATCAGATAACATTTTCTAGGAGTGTGTAACATTTAAAATATCTTTCCACTACCGTATTGATGATGACTAGAACAATATTTCATCACAAACCCTGCTAAACAACTTTCAACAGAACGACAAAAGAGTTTTCTTAAAAGTCATCCTATGAGATTTAATCAGATTTTAAACATTGGAATGAGTTCAGTGACTGAAAATATTTGTGAATATCAGTTTCAGTGAAAATTTTAACACAACACAACTCTTCCTCGTACTTGTCCATTCAGAAAGCATGATATCAGACGTCTGATTTAAAAACATCTTACGTAAGCCATAAACATTCATCTGCGAAAAGTCAATAATGAGTTGACTAGTAGTAATCCGGCATATTGTAGCGCGTCACGAAATACGGAAGGTGATATTAACTGACCAGGGTCCTTGTTTTGAAAGGGACGACAGCTTATTAAAAGGGGGGACGAGTATGGTGCGAGGTACTTGTAAGTAGTATATGACGTGAGTGTCAACGTAATGTCTGGCAGCAGAAGATGGGGGAAGATCAAGAAATGAAGAGTTAGAACACAATGGAATTTGTATGAAACGCATGAATAATGACAATGGATTGATGTTTTGCAACAGGAACAGTTCAGTTCGATATGATGAACTGATATTTTGCAAATGAACGATTTACGATATGGTGTTCCTATTTTACTGAGTAACTCTGTAATTTCCGTTAAATACAATTCGGTTGCCCCACCTGTGTTCTCGTTTACTACAGACTAACTGTAAGTTTTTCAAATAGTTCCCTGCCTATGTAAGAGTTTTTCACAAGAAATGAGTTTCTGAGAGAGCAATGAAATCGGACGTTTAATTTATTGCTTCCGTAGGTCGTTCAGTTTTCAAACCTGAGTAAAATATTTCACTTTATATATTGACCCTTTCGCTTCCAAAATGTTTGATTGTCATACATAACTAATTCATAGTTATCTGAAACAACAAAGATATAGGAAATATATCGCTGAGTAGATCCATACCGTCACATTGAGATCTGTTGAAAGGTTTCTGAAATTCTAGCGACCGTGAACACTACCTCGTTCAGTGTACATCACGTTAGCATTCGATAAGTAAGTTGAACCTCTTAACTCGGATTCCTCTACTACACAAGATTCGAAAATATATCAGAATATATTATCTCTTGACAGTTTTCAACTATTTTTGAAGACTATAAAGCATTTACTATGATCAAACTCATTCTCTGTCTCTCTCTCTACTTCAGGATGATTTTCACGAAATAATCAAATTGGAAGTTGAACAACTATCCACCATTGCTTGTTTAGTTAACAATGTAGGTATGATACTCCCATTGAGTTTGTTTGCTGGAGAAATTCAGTCCCCCGATGATCAATCCATTCGAAATATCATCCATTGTAACATTCTGTCAACAGCATTAATGACAAGTATCGTTTTACCGAAAATGTTAACACAGAATGGTGGATCAAATCCTGGCATCATCAACATTGCAACCTATGCTGGTATGAAACCGTTTCCATATGCTACAATGTATGCCGCTACAAAAGCATTCATTATTCAATTTGCAAAATGTCTCGCAGCAGAAAATTATTCGACAAAGAACATAATTGTACAAACTGTTTGTCCAATATTTGTATCGACCAAGATGAATAATTTTAGGAAAATATCATATTTCACACCGACACCACAAGTATTTGCTAAAAGTGCTTTGGATATGTTTGGTGTAGACCAATTAACTACTGGTTATTTTCCTCAACAGTTGAAAGCATTTGTCTATGATTTATTGCCTACATCATTGTGGATCAAATTGATCGAAGGTATATTCGATCCCAGGAGAAAACGACGCAGAAAAGTTGAATGAAATGAATGTTGGTTGTTCGGATTTCTTCAAATTGTAAATTTGTTCGGATGAAACAATGGTCTTCTAGTTTCTTGATAGTTAATCAGTTGTTCGTTGAGTGAAATTAGTTTTTCGAATACAGAAATTTGTTAGCATTGTAAATGAGTAGTTTTGTGTCTAGCCGTCGATTAGTTTTCATCTCACTTCTATCTGCGGCATTAGTTACTTCACAGATTTGTAACCGAATGATCTATGAAACGGATGTTAAGATAATTGTTATCTTGAATTTTTAAACCGAGCTCTGAGTCTTTTAATTACTGTCTAAATAACTTACTTCCTACTCAATAGGCAGCACTCAAATATACCGTGAAATAGGATCAACACCAGCGTGTCTTGTTTTCCAGATTTCATCATTGTTCGTTGGACTGTCTTCATCACAAAAAACTTCTGTCCAGTTAAAATTCTTATTGGCAATAGGGATAGGACATTTTCTGACAGACAAGTTATTTCATGGCGTTTAAGTTACTACTACAATCGATTGGTTTTCACAGTTCGATTTGTGTAGCTACAAAAGGGATCCAAATTGTGGCGTCAGTTAGATTAGATACATTGAAAACTGATTGTCAGGAAATAAAAATTGTTACTTCGATGTTAAATTAAGCTAATTGAAGCTGTCAGGAAACAGTTATGTACAACTATATAGTTAATTAGTCGACTAAGTTTTATCATATTTTGAAAGACACTGTGAAGTAATATCAGTCAATCACTTTGTCGATTTCTCAACCAGTATGCAACCACACGACATTTGCTAGTTAGCATCCACCACAATACTACGACGATGTGTCATCCATATTGACAAATTTATCACATCAGTCTATAGTTAGTTATGAAGTGATTAAACATTAAATGTCAACCTTTCTCACTGTTATCTACGACCCGGGAACATGCCGATAAACTAACTCGCACTTAAAAACATTTATCTTATCAAAATGGATAGCGAGTTTAAACAAATTGAAGTTAATCTGTCAATATCTATCCAAATGCACTTTTGAGTTATTGACAAGTGAATCGAGTTAGGATATGCAGTGTGACGTAACCTATGGGTTGTTTCCGAAAGAACTGGCCCAGGCAATCGGAACGCATGATAGGATCAGAATATATCCAATTCCAGAAAATAAGGGGAATGACGATAGTCAATATCTTACTTAGACTGCCAATAGGCGTTAAAAGATTATGCTTTGAACTGGTCTTGACTCCTCTGGACAATACAGTATTTCCAGTGTTGTTGTCATAACAAACTCACTTGTCGTTACAATTTCATTGAAGACAATCGATTGCCTGAAATATCATCTTCAACCATGCCATCCACATCATCTACAATATACATTCGCGAATCACAACCATAAACACTGGATACAAAAGTAGCGAAGTGTGACAGACAACTTACACAACTTTCCGTTTAGTGGTTAGACAAAGAAAAGAATCTTCAATCACTGCTTTTGTGGTACAACAATGCTCAGCCAACTCCGGAAAGGATAGATACTGTGCACCAGTAGTTGCGTCAGTCTTTCAGGCATAACTTTTCACCACACAGGACTCTTAAATACAACTAGCAATGTTCGACAAAATATCTCTTTAAAACTCAGGAACTTCACTAACAGTACAATCTCCAGACAACTAGAACAAGAATCATCTTAAAATGGACGTTCAATTTTTTCAAAATGTATATTTGCACATTGAATATTCAAACAGTGGTCATTATATTTTAAATCAATCTAATTGTTTCTTCCAATTAGTTATTTGTTTCAGTGTGTACATTTTTAATTTGAGCGCGAAAGACAATTGGGTCGTTTGACAAACATATGCGTAGAAAGACATTTTTTATTATATAACTAACTAAATTGAATGACGAACAGAAACTTGTTGCGATTGAACACGTGATTTGCGGCATGACATCTCTATCAATCACTCAATCTCTCACACAACTCAACTCTCAAATCAATTTTTGTCAATTCATTCACAGACAACGTGATT